GAGAGAGAGAGAGAAAGAGAGAGAGAGAGAGAGAGAGAGAGAGAAGGAAAGAAAGAAAGAAAGAAAGAAAGAAAGAAAGAAAGAAAGAAAGAAAGAGGGAAGGAAGGATCTTCAGGATGGCCGGAGGGAGCCAACTCAGAGGCCTGGAATGTCCAGTTAGGCCCAGATTGCCTGCCCTGCCCTGCTCCCTGGCTCTCAGGGAGAAAACACAGAAGAAAAGCACTAAGGGCTCAGGAAAAGGAGATGAGACAGCAGCAGGGGAAAGGAGAAAGGCCATTTGTGAGGGGCCAGGAAAATGGATGTCCCTGTGCCTCTGAGGGACATCCCACACTGCCCAGAGTAGCCCACGTACCTGCATGATAGGCTACAGACCCTCTGCTCCAGCCAGGGTGCCTGTTCTTGGGATAATCCTGCACCCAGAAGAGAAAAGAAAGTCGATGGTACCATGCCCCAAAACAGGATGGGAGAGGGTGACCTCTGAATCTTCAACCGTTTGGAACAGACTACAACCCAGATGGCTGCGCAGTGATCCCACCGCCTCTCACATCCTGCAGGCACTGTGGGGGTGCAGGGCCACAGGGAAGGTGAGCAAGTGCTCAGCTGTCAAGGTCAGGGCCACGGGCTGCCCCCCACCTCCTGAGCCAGGCCCCACGGTGTGGTGTAGTCACGACACTCAGAGCCTCAGTCATGTGGGGTCTACACTCTTACACATCCTCCCTCCATAGCCCAATCCCCAGGTTTCCCGGCCCCATCCCAACAGCCCCAGAGCCAAGCAGTTCCACAGGCAAAAGAGCCCAGTGCTCGCACCCACCTTCCGGGCCAGCCCTAAGGCAATGTAGCATTTCTCTCCAGGGTCCACGATCTCCACCTCGAAGTAGTGGCTGCGGGTGCTCAGCGGGTAGCGGGCCTGGGCCAGCCCCACATCCACGATGCTCTTGCCCTTTCCCAAGTACTCCAGCAGCTGTGGAGGAACAGTCAGGTGGGTCAGGGGCAGGGTGACACCCACCTGGAAACCTGGCCCCAAGGCTGTCTGGTACCAGTTTCCCAGGTCAGACAAAAGCTCTCAGTTGCAAAGGGAAGGGACCCTAAAGGCTCAGTGTGGCTCAGAGCACTAGACAGGTGTGGAAGAACAGGGATGGGGGGGGGCGAAGGTAACCCCTGAGCAAGAGGAGCCCCAGAGCCAGCCAGTGGCACAGTAGTTAAGGCAGCTGGATCCCACACAGCCACAGTTCAAGTTCCAGACCCAGCAGCTAGAAAAACACACTGATGTAAGTGTGTGCCCGAAATCTCAGAGGAAAATGGAGGAGAAAGGATTGCAGTGTGGCCATCCCCACCAGGGGTGATTCTTCTTTTTTTCTTTCTCTGGTAAGCACATGTGTACTACAGCAAATTAAAAAAAAAAAAAAATTTAAAAGAGGAGTCCTTTGCTGAAGGCCTCCCACCTTCCTGATACCACCTTCCTGACATGAGCCCGGCCCCCTTCTTCCTGTGGGACAGGTGGGGGCAACACAGCAACTCTAGTAGTTGCTGGGAACCACACCAAGGGTCTCAAGGCTATGTCATCACTTCCCTGAATAATCCTGTGGTCTAAACCCTGGCCTACCCAGGACTTGGGGGTCCCGAACACAAGGAAAAGCAGAAGTGAAGATGAGGCGAAGAGAATGGAGACATTTGGGGGAAAGGGATTAGCTCAGAAGCCAATTCTGTCTAGGACAGAGCTGACAATTTCTCAGTCTTTATTTTACTTGGCTTTGAACGGAGCTGCTCACAGCTGGGTCAGGGAGGTGCTAAGGGGAGCCCAGGAGCTCAGGACAATCAGCTCTACTCCTTCATTTAATGGAGGAGAGAGGTCAAGTGGAGACGGGGCCTGCCTCAGTGCATAGTTGATAGCATACTGAACTGCAGTGCTGGAAGCCACATGGCCAGCCAAGGGTTCAGATCCCCGACCTGATCAACCTAAAGCACAAGAGCACGTGCATGCCCAAGATCTTGACAAACTAGAGGACTGAGAAGGGGACTGGTACAACCAGACCCCTAAGTGGTTTCTTTCTCTCTGCCCTCCTTCCTCTCTCTCTTGCATAAGCATGTACACACCTACCATGAATAAAACGAACTTTTTAAAAAATGCAGATGGGGCCAGCAGGTGGCACTAAACTAGATTAAGGCACTGAACTCCCATATGGCCAGCAGCCGTTCAAGCCTTGGACCCAGTGGCTTGAAAATCACACCAGGCGTGTGTACATGCCTGCCCCAAATCCTCAGGAGAATGAAGAAGGAACTGTGGTGTGGCCATCTCCCCTGGAGGATGATTTCTCACTTTCTCTCCCTTTGTCTCTCTCCAGCAAGCACACAAGCCCTATAGCAAAAACCTAGGGAAAAAATGCAGACAGAGGCAGGTTTCCTGTTCCCAGCCCCTAGTTACTCTTTGAAGCTAGAGTAGGGGTGCAGAGACAGGATCAGAGGGGAGATGACTGATGGGTTCTCAGGGCTCTTCAGTCCTACAATGGTCCTGCCTGGGCATGACAGGGCAGCAACCCCCATCCTGGGAGGATTTATTTACCAGTTGTCAAAGTAACAGTGGGACTGACTCAACCCCATCCTCCCTTTCCCCCACCCTCAGCATCACCTGGGATTCCTTAATCCCCTTTTAATTAGCCCAACTGCCCCCTCAAGACTTTCTACCTTCCCACCCCTGCAGCCCTGCAAAAAATATGCTCCCTGGGGACCTCCTCCATTTATCCCTGGCAAGCTTTGGGACGCTAGCCTCTTACCCCTCAAAGGTTCCTGCCTGAACAGGAAAGGAATTATGCTCGCTTGCATAGCAGGGAAGCCTGTGTGTCCCGCAGAGGCTGGGTCTGCCTCCTTACTACCCTCTTCAGATGGTGAAAGGAGCTTGGGGCTCTCTTGGCCCTAGAAGGTCCAAAGCCCTGCCACTTCAAGTCCACCCTCCCTTCCTCTTCAAAGACAACTGGGGGCAGGGCAGAAAAAGCCAGAACTGCATGGAGCCCACATGCATCCCCACCCTGGCCCACGGTTCTCTGCTTAGCTTGGGTGCCTCTCCTCATCTCTCCCCAGCCAGCTGGCAGGAGTGAGGCTTGACATGCATTAACTAGTTTACTCTCTACCCAATCAGAGCAGCCCCCAGCCCACCCGCTCCACCCAGCATTGCAGAACTGGGTGGGGGACCCCACAGCTGCCTTTGACCCCCTCTATCCAACTGGCCTCCGTGTAGGAAACACAGCGTTCTCAAGGTCCAGAGCCAAAAGACAGGCGATCAGCCCTAATCCTTGGGGAAACCCACCCAACCGCTCCCTCTGCCTCAGCCCTGAGGAGGGCTGCTGCTGCAGTTTGTTTAAGGAGAGGGTGGAGATGCTTCTCGAAGCTAAAAGACCAAGAGGAGCAACTGCGCAAATGGGGGACTCTCCAACCCACTCCCGGAACGTCCTGGAGAATGAGGTCCCTGCACAATGTGTCCTCTTCAAGGGAGGGATCGAGGGGGAAGGGGGGGACAGGGAAAAAACAATACATTCAATGGACACAAAAATGAAGGTATTGGCTGGTGATAATGTGTACGGTGATGTCTTTGTCTTGACTGATATGCACTGTATTCACAGTGGGAAAAAACATGTACACTGTGAAGACGTATAGAGATTAATGTAAACAATAAATATATAGGACCAGCAGACGGCATAACGGTTACGTCGCTGGACTTCCACATAGTTGACTGAGGTTTAAGTCCTGGGCCCAGTGCCTTAAAACTGTGTGCATGTGTGTACAAAGCCCAATAGAAAATGGAGGAGAAGGGACTGCAGCATGGCCATCTCCCCTAGGGTGGGGGAAGAAAACTTCTTGCTTTTTGTCTCTGTCTCTCTGGCAAATACATGTGCCTTATAGCAAAAAGCTCTCTTCTAAAAAATGTAAATAATAAATTTTAAAAAATAAAAAAGAGACTGAGGGATCACCTGCCGCCCTGCTCTTGGGCAGTCCTCCCAATCTCTCCTGGGCCTTCTAGAGCACTGGGAGCGGCAGAGGCGGGAGGTCTGGCCTCCTGGACAGATCCTTTTTGGAGTCCACCCTCCCCTCCTTGGACTACAGCTGTTAGAGCCTAGAGGAGAGAGAGGTCTTGCCCCTGCTAAAGAGTGACTAGAGCCTCGATGCCAGAACCTCAATCTGCCTCAGATAACCTCTCAGTGAGAAAGAGAATCCTCCAGACCTGGGTTTGAATCCTAACTCCTAGTACTTAGTACCAATTAACCTTTAGCCTCCGTCCTGTCAGTGAAACAGGAGACCACCACCTGGATCTCCAAAAATGGGTGAGAAAACTACAGGAAGTGAGTGTCAAGTGCTTAGCAGAAAGCTGGCACCCCAGAGGTGATCAATATACATTCTTGCCTTTCCCTAAATCCCTACAAAGGAGATGGGGGTTGGACTGGAACTGCCAAACACAAAGAAGGAAATGATTGTCATCTCAGGCCTTGCCTGCAACTAGAATGTCTGCTTCAGCCAACCAGGACAGATGACCATTCTCGAGATTACTCTATGCCAAGAGTCCTCCCTCCCAAACAGAGCCCACGGGAATATTCCTCTGCATCTTTGGTGGAAGCACAGGGAAGCCTGCCCTTGGGGCTCCTCAGACCCTAGACTCCCCCCAGACACATGTACACACTACCAAAGTCCTGAGGGGCCACGGAGGCTGCAGAAGAGAATGAAGAGGGCTCCGGCAGCCCGCCTCATCCCGCGCCAGCACCTTTCCCAGCCTCTTCTCCCCTCTCCTACCCC